GCGACAGCTCCACAGTGTCCGGCTCGGGCTCCGGCTGCGGCTCCGTCCCGCGATGCCCCACTCTGTGACCCTGCGTGGGCCTTCGCCCTGGGGCTTCCGCCTGGTGGGTGGCCGGGACTTCAGCGCGCCTCTCACCATCTCTCGGGTGAGTCCGGCAGCTGCGGGGTGGTGGGGCGGTCCCAGTTCTGAGACTCGGTCTTCGCAGTCCGCCCGGGACCCGGATCTCCGACGTCCCTTACGCTCGAAGGCCGAGGGTTGGCTGAGGTGAGCCACAAGCTGTAGAAGCAGCTTCTAGGCGGGGCAGCGTCTCCCCTTCAGCCCCCTCCCTACCCCTCCCGCTGGGCCTGCCCAACCTATCCCATGGAGGATCCCCCCGCCCCCAGGAGTTCACCACCAGCCTCCCAGCTGGCTTCGTTTTTGGGGGTCTCTGTGGGCCAGGCAGGGATCCGCAGACTTGAGCTAGGGGGTGGACAGATCTACAGAGGCCTAGAAATGCTCTTCCCACTGAACCCAGCCTGAGAATTTGGGGCAAAATGAGTGAGAGCTCCCTTCCCCCATCAAGGGTCCCAGCGAGCAGAGCCAGGTAGCCTCAGGGAGATCTGATCTGAAAAGAGAAATGTTCATCTACGTCCCTACTCCAGGCTTTGGTCAGCCTCCCATCCATGACCTCAGAAGCCTCAACGGGAAGTGACCAGGAGGAACTTTTGGCTTGCAGGGGAAAGGAAGATCTGACTGAGGTTGTGAGGCCCCCACAGCACAGAACAACACAAGACCAAGGGCTAGGGTCAAGGTAGTTTCAGTCTAGGTCCTCAAGGTTCCCAGAGTCATGCCCTGCTCTAAGCTTGCACAGAGGGGAAAGAATAGGAGGCACAGCCCTGGAGGGAGAGAGGGGAGAAGCTCCAGTCTGAGGAGGACAGAGGGGCAGAGGAGGAGAAGATTGAGGTGCTCCCCAAAGGAGTTCTCTGTCTTGGAGAGATGGGGTCCTGGCCCAGCGTTGGTGCTCTCTAGTCTGGAAGGGTGGAAGAGGGCACTCAGATCCTGGCTCTGGGGAACCCCAGTCAAAAGAGGAGAGGAGATAACTCAGGTACTGCCCCTGGGGGCCCTCAGTCTGGACAGGCAGAGAAGGGGACCTGAGAGCATCCCTTGCCCCCACACAGGCTGCTCTGATCTTCAAGAAGTTCCTCCCCCACCATGGCCTCCCACCATGGGGGCCAGCATTGCTGGCTGGCCTTTTAGACACTTTTTTCCAGTTCTTGGGACAGGGTAGATGGCCAATGGAGCGTGGAATCGTAGAATCCTGTTTCTGGGGGCTAAGGTGACAGGCAGGCCCAGCTGTCTTGGGAGGATTCCCATGTCTGCCCTTGACCCAAGACTGCTGGGTCCCTCGGGTTGGGTGAGATGGGCCTTCCACACATCCAGGAGCCTCCTTTCATCTCCCACTTCCTTGAGGGAGCCCTGCTGAGAGTGTGGATGTGCACATCCATGGGTGGCTGTGTCTGCTTGTGTGTTATGCAAGTGTATCTGCCTAGGCGAGCTGGGGGGGGGGGTGCTAAGCTGGCCAGCCGGCCAGGCACCCCAGGCGTGAGGCTGCTGACAGGCTCAGTGGTGGCGGCTGACGGCCACAGGCGGCAGGGAGCAGAGACATCTGTTGCCCACGCGGCCGCCTGCCCGCCGAGAAAAGGCCTCCACACGTCACAGCAGCAGCAGCAGCGGCCTTGTTTGGAGCTGATCACAATACAGGCCCCTGGCAGGCAGGCAGGCTGGGAAGCGGTTTGCCAGGGAGAGCCCCCCTTGTCCCCCAAAGTCACGCGGCAGCAGATCAAGACCAAGGAGACAGGATGGCTGAGCCTGGGGTTTGCGTGTGATCTGAGATTTATAGGGCTTGAGAGGCACAGGCCACAGCTTGCCCAACAGGTATCTCAGGGACAGATCTACAGGGACTGCTGATATGTGGGGGTGTCCTTTCTAAAGGTACTTAAGACCAACTCCCACCCATGTTTCCAGGGTCTCCCTGACCTACGACCCAGTGGGGACAGCTGCATTCAGAGAAGCTGGCTGCCTGGTAGGGCTGAGGGCTTGCATCCTTAGCCCACAAAGCCTCAGGGAGCCCCAAGGACATAGTCCAGGGCTCCTTTCCCATTCACTTACTATCATGATTGCTGGCCTTGGCCCAACATCCAGGGCATGCCAGGCCCCACCCTAATGGGTATTAATCCCAGCCCCTCAAGCATTCCCTGGAATGAGCATCACTGTGTTCAGTCCCCTGTGTGGATTTCACATGCCTTAACCATCTCAGGTAGCCTTCATAATAGCCCCTAGAAATAAGCACTCCCTCTGGCCTCACATTATTTAAAAAAAATACACACACACACACACACACACACATTCAGACTCATAGCGACCCCCTTTGGGTTTCCGAGGTGGTAAATCTTTATGGAAGTAAATTGCCCAGTCTTCCTTCTGCACAGTGGCTGGTGGGTTTAAACCACCAACCTTCCAGTTAGCAGTCAAATGCCTTAGGCACTATGACACCAGAGCTCCTTGGCCTCACATTATAGATGGAGAAAGTGAGGTTCAAAGAAGCTTAGTAATGTATTCAGAGTGGCAGAGCAGGGAGAGGAATCTAGGCCTGTGTGGAACTTGCTGTGACTGTAGGACAGTTGACTCTGCTGCAGCTCCTAGGCTACCACAGTGGCTGAGCTGGGCAGGGCAGGGGCTGGAAATGCAAATGAAGGATCTCACTCACTCCCCAGCCACACAGCTGACCCCACTGCTCCAGTCTCCCCTTATTTCCTGCCTGTTTATCCTACACTGGGCAGCCAGAAGAATCTGCCTGAATTCAACTCTGTCCTGTAATGTCTTTGCTTAGAACACTCCATGGTTCCCAACCACTCAGGAGAAATGCCACCTTCTCACCTGGACCTACAAGGCCTTGTAAGGTCTGGTCCCTATCTCTTCTCCCACTTCATCTCTTCTCCTCACTATGCTTTAGCACAGGAACTTTATTCTACTCTCTCCCAAATGAGCATTCATTATACATGCTGGTCTTTCTACCTAGCACAAACTCTCTCCCCCCTCTCCCTTTTTGCAGAGAACAGTAACTAAGGGTGTAGAATATGGAATCAGTAGGCTTGGATTAAAATTCTGCTTTGTCATTTATCAATTGAGTGTCCTGTACTTCTCTGGACCTTGGTTTTCTCATCTAAGAAATAGGCTTCCCCTGAGCATTAATAAGACAATGCACATAAAGGCATCTGGGAAAGTCATGGTTTCCTGGCCTCATGCCCTCTCTGACCAGAACTCCCCAAGCAGAGCTGGCAGAGTCCCAGCCACCCCTGCTTCTGAGAACTTCCTCCATCCACAGGGGCCTGAATGCACCTCTTGTGTTGGCTGAGTCATCAAGCAGCTAGCCGCCCCCTTAAGGGGAATACTACTCTCCAGTATGGGGGATTAAGGCAAGGCATCCCTTCACCCAAGCCTCTCTTTCTGTCTGTAAAATGGGGATATTTATGGGTAAAGTGCTGAGCCCAGGCCCTGGCACAGAGCAGGTATGCATGAAGAGGAGAGATCGTGGAGCAGGGCCTTAAGGAGAGAGTGGCATGGTGACAAGTGGACACCTCCCCCAGGAGAACAGGCCTATGCAGTGCCCAGGCCCTATGAGTGAACACTAATGTTGGGCTGGCTGGCTGAGGGTGTCATACTTCAGAAGAAGAACATTCCTTGGGGCAGCCTATTTCAGGTCAGCTTGGATAGTGCCCACACCAGACCTCCAGCCAAGGAACTGTTACCATCTTGAACCTCAGCTTTGTCCACTCGCTACTGGGAGCTGGATGAGCTGAGCCTGGCCAAGTTTCCAGAAGCTTCCTTCCCTATTAGTAGGAACAAGGTCACTGATGGCTGTTGTGCCACAACTGGGCACCAGCTGAAGAGGCTGGGTAAGGATGAGGGTACCTGAAATCTATTTCCAGAGGCTGTTCTGGGGCTAGGGACAGGGTGAGGATGCCCTGTTACCTGAATTCCCCTGGGCTGCTTACTAAACTCTTCTTATGAGCCTATCCCTAACTTTGTATGGTCATCATCAGAGTATCAGCATTGTAAAAGACTCCAGAAGTGGACACTGTCTTGGATCAGTGGTAGCCCATGCAGCTGAGGGAGTACCCATCCTGCAGAGAAACTGGAATGCAGGTTGACAGCTGGAATTAGATGGCCTAGAAGTGCCTGGGCAGGTGATAAGACAGCCCCAGAACAAGACAATAACAACGGGAGGAGCAAACATGGTAATGAGTATGAGCCCAGAGGAGAGGCTCCCAGAGGAAGTGGCCTCTATGCTGAGATCTGAAGAATGGGGAGGAATAAGCTGGGAAGTAGGAGTCAGGAGTCAAAGGAAAGAGTGTTCCAGGCAGAGGGAATAGTATCTGCAGAGGAATGGAGGTGAGCAATATCTAGTGCATGTGAGGACCCCATGGACAGTCAATGGTCTGGATAGAGTATGTGTAGATAGGGGAGAGGGGATGAGAGGTGATGTCACTAAGGGATTGAATGTCATGTTAAGGGGGCTGCTATGTAGCCTGTCTGGACGTGGCCATGCCTGTGCTCAGTATGTATCTGTGAGTATGTGTGTTCCTGTTTGTGTGTCCCTTGCATATCCTTGGGCACATGTATGAATTGCAAAGGTGACATGTTGCTTGTCCCATCCCAGAAGAAGCCCTACTCTTACATATCCTCACAGCCCACCAGACCTCCAGGCACTAGAGTTGGAGGTGTTTAGACCAGAGGTTTCTTTTGCTGGATACAGAATTGGGCACCACACGGGAACCTCACCAGCCTCTTAGCTTGTCCATCCACAGGTCCACACTGACAGCAAGGCCATGCTGGCCAGGTTCTGGGATTGGAGAGAGTTTAGAGAAGAGCCTGTAGCAAGGCCACATAATCATCGTGCCCAGCTCCCTGGCTTGCCTGCCCACAGGTCCACGCTGGCAGCAAGGCTGCACTGGCTTCCCTGTGCCCCGGAGACCTGATCCAGGCCATCAATGGTGAGAGCACAGAGCTTATGACCCACTTGGAGGCACAGAACCGCATCAAGGGCTGCCACGATCACCTCACACTCTCTGTGAGCAGGTATGCATATGGTAGGGTGGACTGGGATGATGGGGCATGGAAAAGTGTAGGTACAGACAGCCAGCATCCTAGGTGAACTGGGCCACACACAGCCTTCTGCTTCAGCTCCCCGGTATCCCACCCAGGCATAGCCCTAAAGAGTAATGCTTTCATAGGGGCCTGGCAGGCACTGGTCAGAGTTGGGGGCTACTTAAGAAGGGAAGAAAACACACTTAATTCAGGGCTAGAAGTATGTTGAGGCATTTATGCAGGGAGTAGGCTGAAACCTACTGACAAGTGGACACCTCCCCCAAAAGAACAGGCCTATGCAATGCCCAGGCCCTATGAGTGAACACTAATGTTGGGCTGGCTGGCTGAGGGCGTCATACTTCAAAGAAGAACATTCCTTGGGGCAGCCTATTTCAGGTCAGCTTGGGTAGTGCCCACACCAGACCTCCAGCCAAGGAACTGCTACCATCTTGAAACTTAGCTTTGTCCACTCTCTACTAGGAGCTGGATGAGCTGAGCCTGGCCAAGTTTCCAGAAGCTTCCTTCCCTATTAGTAGGAACAAGGTCACTGATGGCTGTTGTGCCACAACTGGGCACCAGCTGAAATAAGACCTTGAGTAGCCTCTGGAGGGTTGATTTCAGTCCTTTCCCTGCTCCTGAGTGCTTGATGACAGTTTCAAAACAATTTCTTATCCAGCAACTCATTTAACCACCACACCAGCTTAACAAAGTAAAATCTAATATAGTTCCCACTTTACAGATGAGACAGGTAAGGATAACGAAAGATTGAAGGATGCTCAAAATCATACAGGGAGCTCTAGTGGCACAGTGCCTAAGGCATTTGACTGCTAACCAAAAGATTGGCAGTTCAAACCCACCAGCTGCTCTGCAGAAGGAAGATGGGGCAGTCTACTTCCGTAAAGATTTACAGTCTTGGAAACCCAATGGGGGTCACTATGAGTTGGGATTGACTCAGTGACAGTGGGTTTGGTTTTTTAGTTTGAGGTCATACAGTAAGAGAGTAGGGAAGCAAATTTGACTTCAAGTCTCTCATTTCCAAAGATTCCACTTCCTGTTCTTGGCTACTGATCACTCTCACCGGGCAACCCACAGTTGCCCCTGCCTTAGCTGTTCCCCTCGTGGCCCAGGTCTCTGTTCTTTTTCAGTCTGGATATGGGATAAGCTTCTAGCCATGAACTATGTAATGTTGTGCCCTTTGTCATAAATGGGAGGAAAGGGGAGAACCAAGCCCCGCCATGCCCTGCAGATGGTTTAGTATGAAAGATCCACCTGGGGTGTCCTCCTTCCTTGCTGAGGGCCTGAGCCTTTGGTCAGCTCTGGCAAGCAGTCAGCCTGGTCATGGCCAAGTGCAATCTCCCTGTTCTCCTGTCCTGCCTGGATCCAGAGGAGTCAGGCATAACTGCTCAGCTGCCATGTTCCCTGTTGACAGGGACTTTCCACAACCTCCTATGGAAGTATGTGGGTAAAGCCTCCCAAAACCACAACCCTGCTAACCATGCCTTAGAGCTGGCATTTTTTCGTGGGGTGGGGTGAGGGGGGAGCAGGGTGGTCTATTTGCCCAGAGCCATTAAACATGATGGGAAGACTTGTGAGGTAGCCCCAGACTGTGCCTGGCCCAGGTCAGGGCTGGCTGTGCCCTCAGGGCTGAGTAGGCTCAGCTACAAGTCCAGGGCCTTGTGCACTCCAACTGCCACATATCAAGGAGATTCTGGCCTTGGAGTTTGGCAGAGCTAGTCCTCATCCAGGCTCTGTGGGAATTTAGGTATAGCAGATGAACTCTGTGAGCCTCGATTTCCTCCCCCATAAAATGGAATCCGATTCCTCACTCTCTCCTGGAGTGAGGTACAGTCTGGATAGGGGAAAAGCCAGGTCAGCACTGCTCTGCCAGCATCCTCTGAGGCTGCCCCACTTGGCTAGGTTCCTGGGAGCTGACTCACCCACCTCTGGCTTTTAGACTGTGTACGCATGAACAAGGGGAGCCCTGGTGGTAGGGACAGACTCACAGGGGGCCTGAGTCAGGAGCCTGGACTAGAGTTCCCAGAGGCAATGCTGTCTGGGGAGGGTGAGTGGGTGGAGGCAGGTTGGAGGTCTTCCTTCCTTCCTTCCTTCCCTGGTCATTTGTTCCAAGCCAGGCATGGATGGAACCAGGGATCTGTTGAGCCTTGACCTGTTCCACTTTGGCCACTTCAGCCCTAAAACACAGCTTGGTCATGAAGCAAGTGAGAGAGCATTCTCTACTGTATACTTGAGAACTGTGCTGTCCTCCAGGAACTGATTTAATCTCTGAGGCCTTAACTTCTTTAACTCCAAAATGGGGACACTCTTAGGATTTGGAGATAGAGTGTGTTGACACACCAGGCCTGCTAAGTCAGGGTGGAAACCTAGGGTCCTCTCCTCCAGCCCCCTATTTCTATCCCTCATACATACAGGTTCTGAGGGAGCAAGACCTGAGGCCGTCCTGACCCTCTGGGCCAACACTTCTCCTGAGTACAGAATTGGGTGACTTCCCACCTAGAGGCCTCTGACCCTACTCATGATTCTGCTTGCCATACCAGGACCTACCCTGGGCCCCAAAAGCCCTCCAACATGAACTCTGTGGAAGCTTGGTCTAGTGAACTGGTTGAAGGAAGCTACTCTACCCCCACCCCTAGGGTTCTACCTAGACCAGCATCCTTGCTTGCCATCTCGTATACAGAGGTCTCTAATCCCCCGTAGACTTTTCCACACAATAAAAAGTAAAGTAAGGGCTTAGCTATGTCTGAAGCACAAAGCCAGGTATCAAAAAATCCAATCTAACTCATACTTCCTTGGCATGCCCAGGACCTTTAGCTCCAAATGGGGCCTCTGATGAGGTCCCTGCCATTCATTCACGTATGGTGCAGGTGCACATCCCACCCTTTGGTTGTCATTTTGTTTTAATGTGTCAGAGGGAGCCACCTGCTTGGCCTGAAATGGAGGCCTGAGGGTTGGAGTGTGACACATGAATAAGCCTTCATTCCATTCTGGTGCTTTGGGCAACTCTCATGGCTCTGAGCACTTTGTGCCTTCTGACCCTCCGACCTCCAGATTGTATGTTCTTTTGAGCAGAACTTCCTGGAATTATAAAGCCAAATAGGCACACATGATGTCTCAGGTTTTTCCCAGCGGCATTTTGACTGGGCAGAGGACATAGAGCAGTCACTTGGGAGCTTGGTTGAGGGGACTAGAATTGGAGATGAGAAGGGGTGGTATTGCCCTGGGCAGCAGAGTCTTGGTGCCATCGTCCATTGAAGTCATAGGTAGTCTGCAGGGAGCTAAGGAGAGCAAGATGAAGAGGTGCAGAGTGAGTGTGGACTGTAGGTGTAGACAGATTGTTAAGAACCTCGGCTGAGACAAGGCTGGGTTGAGTTGCTAGGGCAGTAGTAAGACCTAGAGAAGTCCCAAGATGCACACTGTTCCCCTTTGGTCTAGCCAGACTGCACTTCACACCACTTGACACTGTTGGAAGTGGTGACTCTAAGAGCTGGTCCTTGCAGACAGTTCAGGGCCCAAGCACCCCCTTACCCATCTTCTTACAGAGCTACAGAGTAGCAAGCTTGAGCTCCAGGCCTGTAGCCTCTCGGCCTGCCTGCCCCACTTATGGCAGGTTTACGATGTTTTTCTCCCTCCTGAGTGGTGTTTGCCGTTTGGTTTCTATGGCGAAGCAGGAATTTCCTAATGGCCTGTTTCCCATCTGGGCTGGGCAGACATCGGTGATGACTCTGCAGGCAGCAGCAGGAGGGGAGGCACACCCCTCACAACCTCCATTCCACCATCCCCCAGAGCTGATGGAGGTCTGACTCCGGGTTCCAGCCTGAGCCTACAGATGGCAGAGAGGTGGGAAGATGGGCTCCTAGCCAGCCCTCAGGGTGAAAAGTGCAGGGAGGTGTGGGGAGGCTTGGGCCACCTGGACAACTGATCAATGTGTGAGGCCCAGTTCGTCTGCTGGGAGCTGGGCCTCTCTGAGCTGTATTTCTATAGGCCACAGAGAGGGTGGAAGGGTGGAGAAGCTGCACGGCTTCTGCTTCAACCTCCCCAGGAACCAGACCAGAGAGGAATGGGCAGCTGGTAGGAAAGGAGCACATAACCTTGCCTCAGGAGGGTGGCAGAAATGTGTCTCCTTGCCACAGTGGCCACTATTGTGGTTTGGGGAAAGAACTGGGGTGGTGTCATCTGCCCGACAGGACACCAGGCCGGCCTGGTCTTAGGTGGCTCTGGTTCCCAGCCATGGTGGGTATGGTAAGCAGACATACCTGACCATCCCAATTCCTGCCACAGGCCCGAGGGTAGGAGCTGGCCCAATACCCCCGAGGACAGCAAGGCCCAAGCACACAGGATTCACATCGACCCGGAGGCTCAGGTATGTATACATATTACCTGGCCTGACCTGGCTCAGAGTGAGTCCAGGGCAAAGAGACCAGGCCTAGTCTACAAGTTCACCTGCAGTAAGTGTCCTCACTGTGGCTTTGAGATGCCTAAGCAGAGCTGAGAGAGGCTGAAGTAGAAGCCCTCTCTGGGCCATGTCCATGTCCCATCCTTTGCTTCCTACATGGTGGGCACCTACTGGAGGCTCTGTCTGTATCTCAGGAAGTTCTGGATTTTGGGACAAAAGTACCTATGGTGGGCAGGGGCTGGACCAAGCCTTGGCTCAGGATTTATCATTCACCCAGCTAAGTGCCCAGGGATGCTAGGCCTGGAGGAAGTCACCAGACTTGGAGAGGGTGGGTGCAGCCACAGGTTGTGGGACACTCCTCTCTCACACCCTAGCCTTGGATACCCTCTTGATCTGAGAATAGCAAACCTCAGGCTGCAGGGCTGACCTAATAGTATAAGGCACTCCCTCGTCCTGTCCCTGGCTATCCTGTGTTTGCACCTAGCAGATCTCAGGCTGCAGGCCTGTCTGCCCAGTCATCTCTCCATGTATGGCAGGTGTTACAACTATGACCTGTTCTCAAGGAGAGTAAGGTGGGCTGGCTGCTCTAGAATATCATTTTTCCATAGACATGAGAGGTAGCCAAGTGGGCAAGACAGGTCCCAGAGCCACCTCAACATCTCTGTGCCACAGAGTCTGGACAAGGTGACTGGGCTGACCTATGACAGAGCTGGAACCAGGTGGCCCAGTATGTGGGCTCATGGCTTCCTGGGAGAAAAGGGACTAGGGCAGGGAAAAGAGACTACTGAACCAGAGGGAGGGATCTGCCCTGGCCTCACCCTCACCAGCTACCTCAATCCACATCTTGCTCTAACTTTTATTCCCTATCTTGCCTTTGCTGGCATCCCTGAGACCTGATGCTTGCCACATTCCAGCAAGTACTGATGTGACAGGGGAGAAGCACTTAGGAGGCCAGTGGCTAAAGGAGTCCAGAACAGGCACATGACTTAGCCAAGGAGTCAGAGAGGGCTTCCTGGAGGAGGGCATATCCAAGACAAGATCTGAAGGCCAAGGAAGAATAAGGCAGACAAAGGGATGTGGGGAAAAGAAGTATGCTCAGAAAGCATGTACAAAGGCCCAGAGGTGAAAGAGTTCCACAAGGTCAGAGAACAGAAAAGTCCCCAGGGACAAGGGGACAGAGACAAGGGATGAAATAATAGGGCAGGGCCATGGAGAGGCTCATGGACAGAGATTTGTGATCACACCGTGTCTCAAACTTGCTCCAGTGACTCCATGGACCCAAGACCCTGGGGGAGTGGGCAACTGTTGGCTTAGACAAATTGGCCAGGCCTGACCTGGCCAGGAAGATGGGAGCTGCACAGTGAGGGCCCCCAGCTTATGTGTGAGGCCCAGCTTCCCTCAGAGTGATCAGTGCAAGGATGACAGGACAAGAAGGCCTGAGCTTTGGAGTTTGAAGCTTAGCTCTGTTCAGTCCCCCAGGAGAGGCTCAGGACCTAGGGGGAAGGGGACTTGTTCTCTATGACTCCCTCCCAGACAGACTGCCAGTGACTCAGGCTGGAAGGGGAGGGATTTTCCACAAGCATCAGGGCAGCCCCTCAGCTACTGCCCTCCTTTTGTACTAAAAGGTCATGGGCTCCATGGGTGGTGACAGAAACACTCCCACCCAGCCCCTGCAGGGCTGTGTCCTCAGTAACACAGACACAGGACCCATTGTCCCCCACTGCTCTCATCCTCTGCCTGCAGGATGGAGAAGGGGGAGGGGGCCCAGCTAGAGCCATAGAGGAAGAGGATAACAGTTGGCCCTAGGATCAGCACAAGGTGCCCCCGGCACATATCCCCAAGTGAAAATGGGACAGGGCCAACTGTGGTTTCAGGCCCACCTTCCCTGTAGAACCTCCTTCTCTCTGGCCTCATGTGGGAACACCCAAGAGGCACTTTGCCCAACCCAGGGTAGAGTAAAGGTGATAATAAGGAAAGGCTTCCTGGAGGGGGGACATTTAAGCTAAGAACCAGGGATGCATAGAAGCAAGCCAGGTAGAGCAGGCAGCCCTTGAACACTTGGCCTGTCCTCTCCAGACCAGCAAAGAGCTGGAGCTTGGCCTCGGGGAGGTGCCACTTGCTTGTCTGGACTCAGCCTCCACCCTCATCCAAGTGAGTGTCCTACATTCTGACTATAGTCACCTGGGGCTGATGAGCAGACAGTTATTCTGCTGACAAACCCACCGAGGTAATGAAATCAGCACATTTTCCCAACCAAATCATTTACCCAACCAAATCAGCAGCAGGGCTGGTACTCACAGAGAAGCACATGTTCCCAGGTGCACCACTACAGAGGAAGATCCAGGCGTGGAGGTCAGGCATCGCTATACAGCCATTCACCTAACAGGTATTTGCTGCATGCCAGGCATTACGCTTTCATCCTCACAAGAACTTGTGATGTAGACTGCATCACATTCCAAATATCATGATAAAGAAACCAAGGCTCAGAGAGATGAAGCGACTCGCTTCATTAGTGAATGATAGAGCTAGGACTCTGGGAGCTCTGGTAGCATAGTACCTAAGGCATTTGACTGCTAACCAGAAGCCTGGCGGTTCAAACTCACCAGCCACTCCTCGAAAGGAAGGTTGAGCAATCTACTTCCGTAGTGATACTGCCTCGGAAACCCAAGGAGGGGTTGCTATGAGTCGGGTCCAACTTGATGGCACATAACAACAACAACAACAGAGCTGGGACTCAAACTAAGTTCAGACTTAGAGAGGCTGCTGCATGGGTGGCCCTGGGAGGAACAGTGGCTCCAATGACCCTGGAATAGACTTCCCCACCTGGATAGGGGTGAGGTGGGGGCCCTCCTTCCTCCTGGTTCCTCCCACTACCCCTTCCCATTGAAGCCTCCTTTACTCAGGGCTTGGCCCTGCCCCCACCAACTACAGTCCATCTGGTCTCCATTAGAGGCCAGCCTGGCCAGCCCTGCCCGTCTGTGTGTAGCCCAGACACGTGTGAGAGTGCTCAGGTTTCTCAGGGGCTTTTGTTGAGCCTGATAGAGGCAGGGGGTCTTCCTGCTGCTGCTGTTGCTGCATTGATGAGGCCCACCTGGGTAGCAAGAAACCCTCCACTTTGTCTGTTGGGGCAGAGGAAGCAGGAGTACCCCCTACACACTGGGCTGCTGATCCTGCCACTCTCAAGCTCCTGTCCAGTTCAGAGACTGCAGAAAGCAGAGAGTTGGGGCAGAGCCCTAAAGGCCTGACTGTTCTGCTGGAGGCTGCCTGAGTCCCAGCAGGGCTCTTTTCTGTCAGGGGAAATATCTTTTCCTCCCTACTTGGTCTCCCTGTCCACACTGTACTGCAGAGACTTACATTGTCACTTCCCAGGCTGAGGCTGAGACCCACTTTCATGGCCTGGTCTCTGAGACCCCAGTCTAAAGTCAAGACGCTTGAGCCATCAGGCCAGTCCCAGTATGGAGGTCACCATGGCCATTCCCAGCGTCTCTAGAACTGGCTCTGAGTATATGTGACTACGTATGTATACAGACTGGCTGCTGCATGTGTGTTGTCCTTATGCACATATGTCTGTAAAATTGTACTTGTGTTTACATTGCTGTGGGCATGTCTGTGTGTGCCTGCAAGCTGTATGTAATTTGGCCTTGGAATCTGCAGGGACAGGATTGCCACTCAGGCCTACGCCCACAGAGATACTGCCCTCTTTTCATTGGCTAAAGGGACACATTCAGGGCACTTTTCCTCCAAATATATCAGCTATGGACCCAGGCTGGCCATAGGGTAGTGGAGTAGAGAACCTTGAGCCCTGGCCCAGCCGCTGTCCTTGTCTGCTGTGCTTACAAAAGACTACCCCTTATGGCCCAGGAACCAGGTAATGAGGTGAAGGTGCAGGCCCAAAGGGCTGGGACCTCATAACTGCACACTTGAGCCTTAGCCTGGCTTCCCAAAGGCCTTGGACAGACAGTGATTGATGACCCTTCCTGGCTGCAGGACAGGAGTTACTTGTTTCTGTACCCAGCCATGGCACAGTTCTGACAGGTAGAAAGGGTCAGCACTGGGGCCACTCCTGCTAGGGGGCCAGAAACTCCGTTCCATCTATGCTGGCTTTAAAAGGGGTCTGCCCTATCACCATCTCTCATAGGAACTGGTGGTCAAAACCACCATGGGGTACACAAGCCAAGGTTGAGCCTCAAGCATTTAAGTTATGTTCCTTCAGGGGCTGATGAACAAAGCATGAGGCTAAGCCTTCCCATAGACCCTCTTTCTGGCAGGGACCATAGCTCACAGATGACAGAACTGGGGATGGGGAGCAGACAGCAGACGTTCAAAGAAGCCTAGCAGGGTGGGATTGAAGTATACAAGGAATGGCCAGAGGTCTGGCCATTTCTCCTACCCTCGGGGTCTTCCAGTGCTTGGGCCTCTCTTCAACAGGATGGCAGCCCAGTGCCCAGCAGGCGGCCCTCAGCCACAGGGATTGGACCAGGAGATGGGAGACCAGTCCTGGGAACTCCATATGGGCAGCCACCTCGCCTCCCAGTCCCTCACAATGGCAGCAGCAGTGAAGCCACCTTGCTCGCACAGATGAGCACCCTGCAAGTGTCTCCACCCTACAGGTAGTACAGAGCCATCTTAATCCCTGAATCTTCAGATCTCACCATGCCCCATCCTGACCCCAGACACTTGATCCTTGGGTGTCACCTGGTTGCATTTGGACCAATGAGGCCTCACCAGATATCCCACCCCAACCCCCCATCTGGCAGTGAAGTCTAAAACTGCAAACTTACCCCTCCTCCATCTCTCTCCCACCCAGTGCTGCTGACCCAGCCAGAGGCCTCTCTCGGAGTCGTGACAGTGGAGTTGATCTAGGCTCTGATGTGTACAGGATGCTTCGGGAGCCTGCTGAGCCCACAGCTTCGGAGCCCAAACAATCGGGCTCCTTCAGATACCTGCAGGGCATGCTAGAGGCTGGCGAAGGTGGTAAGATGTAGACCACACTACCCCATTTGCTTTCCCATTCCCTGCGGTGTCCCAAACCCTTACTTGCTGCACCTTCTGTGACCCCCACATCCCTCCTATCTGCCATCTGCCCCGCTTCTGCATTCCAGGCGCATTCCCATACTTCCCACTACACTGTCACAACCTGAGCCCAACCCCATCTCTCTTTCATCCTACACCCAACACCAGTCTACCTATTGATAGCACTGGAAGGCCCGCCCAACCCACACACTGCCGAAGGATTTCTTTCATCTTCTGACCTATGTACTGGGCTCCTGCCAACCGCTCTCACGTTTTCAGGGGAGCGGCCAGGACCTAGCGGACCCCGGAACCTTAAGCCCACGACCAGCAAGCTGGGCGCCCCGCTGAGCGGCCTACAGGGGCTGCCCGAGTGCACGCGCTGCGGCCATGGCATCGTGTGAGTACCCTACCCCGCCCCGGTCCCGCCTACCCCGCCCGGGCTGGGTCTGGGCCCGAGGCACTGGAAACGGGAACTCTGGAAAATCCTTCAGCCACTCGACCCTGCCCTCTTCCGGTCTCCTCACCAGGGGCACCATCGTCAAGGCGCGGGACAAGCTCTATCACCCTGAGTGCTTCATGTGCAGCGACTGCGGCCTAAACCTCAAGCAGCGTGGCTACTTCTTTCTTGACGAACAGCTCTACTGCGAGGGCCACGCCAAGGCTCGAGTGAAGCCGCCTGAGGGTTACGACGTGGTAGCAGTGTACCCCAATGCCAAGGTGGAACTCGTCTGAGCTGCTTCCAAGGACCTCCCGTCCTCGTTCCTGCTTTGTTTAATGGTCCACCTGGCCGTGTAAATAGATGTTTGCCTCCTGGCGCTCTAATAAATGCTCTCTGCTCAGCACTATGTTCCTGCTGCCAATGGAGGCCATCGGTCAGTGCCCTGACCTGCCTCCCTCCAGCGTAGGCCATGGGTCCCAAGTGCTACAACATGTGTTCATTGTCTACCAGATGTCAGGCACGTCCTAGGCACCGTGTGCAATAGTGAGCAAGACAGCACCGTGCACCACTCAAGGGGGATATGGTGGTGGTGCAGAGGCGGGGTGGCAGACGGAAATCACATAATCACAAATAACGAAGAGGAAGGTCTATTAATACAAGGTGAGGGGAGGTCTAGGGTGCTTAGGGGCGACATCACGCATTCTGATCTGGGCAGGGTCAGAGACATTGCCAGCAGAGGACTAACAGATAAGGGAGCAGAGGGGCCTAGAGGTGGAGTAATTGTGTATGCAAAGGTTGGCAAAGAAAAAAAGCACAGCCTCTACAGTCCATCAACACGAATAGAGGCTGCCCCCTAACAGTCCCGGAGGGATCGCCCGTGGGAGAATTGTGACTTGGGGTGAGGGAGTGGGAGTTATGGGACCGGTATTTGGCTCCCTGCTTGACTGCTTTCAGGTTCTCTCTCTCCCACCCTCTTTATTTTTCTCCCCGGCTTTTTCTTTTCCCTTCCCCTCTCACCCACCAGGTGGCGTGCTTAATGTTTCTAAAGAATGTAAGAAAGGAAAGAGGAGGGAAAAAGAAAACCAGGACTGCTCAAATCCTTGCCTTTTCAAGATGTTTCTATTTCTGAAGCAGAGGAGTCAACTGCTGGGGGGGGGGGGGGCGGACAATAGTTCTGCCCAGTGGGCCTGCAGTGAACTTTTCTGGGCTCTGCTGCACACACTGGGCCAACCTCACACTTTTTAAAAATATAGATGGTGTCAGAGTTAATAAATTGTGATTGCAACCTGCTGTTCTCATCCAACGACTCCTATTGGACTCAGGGTCCAATGGATCTACACTCTCGTTTGCTTCCTGAAGACAGGAAATCAGCCTAGTTTATTTAGTCCTGGTTTATTTAGCAAGTCCCAAGTAATGTACATTTGTGTCAGTGTTGGTGGTACAGTGGTGAGCATAGCTGCCTTCCAAGTAATGTACATTTGCGCTATTTTAAATTTTGAGCTCTTCATAAAGCACAAAAGACATTAATTCACATTCTCATAAAATGTGGAACAAAACTCAAAGTCATTTAAAAAAAAAAAAGACCAGGCTTACTGGTGTGGTAGACTGGTGAAACTCCCAAGAATATGGTCTCTACTAACCCTTTCTTTTTTTTTTTTTTTGGAGCTCTGGTAGCATAGTGCCTAAGGCACTTGATTGCTAATCAGAAGGCTAGCAGTTCAAACCCACCAGTCACTCTTCGAAAGGAAGGTTGGGCAATCTACTTCCATAGTGATACCACCTCAGAAACCCAAGGAGGGGTCACTCTAACTCCATGGCACATAACAACAACAACAACCCTTTTTAAGCCTGTAATTGAACTTGCTCCCCTGGCTTTCAGCCAAACAGACAAGCCCATGAAGTGCACAATTATACCAGGGAAGTATAGTCCTTAGAAAAATGAACCATGGGAGATCAGAACAGCAGCACTTACTCTAGGAGAATGCACACAGGGCAGGAATGAATAGGAAAGAAGGACACAAGGAAAAGATAACCACAAAGAGGAAGTGGGGAAAGAGCTGTTACATTGTGGGATCACAATCAATGTCACAAAACAAAATGTGTGTGGACTGATGGATGGAAAATGAATTTGCTTTGTAAACTTTCACCCAAATCACAATTTGGGGAAAAAAAATCAAACTTAAAATCAGCACATGACAATACTCATTTCTTCCTGCTCTTCCCAACAACAAAGTATTATTATTATTATTATTATTTAGGCTAAACCAAACCAAACTGACTGCCATGGAGTTGATTTGACTCATAGCGACCCCTCCTTGGGTTTCCAAAATGGTATCTCTATGGAAATAAACTGACCAATCTTCCTTCCGAGAAGTGGCTGGTGGGTTTGAACTGCCAGCCCTCTGGTTAGCAGTCAAATATCTTAGGCAATATAAGTAAAACACAATATGCAGTTATCATTTGCATGTTTCTGATTTTCAGTTCAACAAACATTTATGGTGTGGTTGCTAGGCTCTGGATGGAAGAGCTGTCCTCACCCTCCCATTATTTTGAGGTTGACTTAACTTCTTTTTAATGATTGATAAACCAAACCAAACTCACTGCTGTCCAGTTGGATCCGACTCATAGTGACCCCTCCTTGGGTTTCCGAGGCACTCTGGTAGCATAGTGCCTAAGGCACTTGACCGCTAGCCAGAAGGCTGGCGGTTCAAACCCACCAGCCACTCCTCGGAAGGAAGGTTGGGCAATCCTACTTCCGTAGTGATACTGCCTCGGAAACCCAAGGAGGGGTCGCTATGAGTCCGGGCGACTCGACGGCAAATAACAACAACATCACTAGGGAAGTAGATTGCCCTATCTTCCCTCCGGGTTAACAGTCAAGTGCCTTAGGCACTACGCCACCACAGTTCCTTTAGTGATTGATAGGAATTGTTTATATTTTTCAAGAACCTTTGTTACTGGGCTCTTTCCCAATTATCTATTTTCCTATTCCTGTGCCAACCCTGTTATAATTGCTATATCGTTTTATAGTTTAAAACGCCAATCTCTTCTTGTTATTGGTTTACAAAGATGCCAAAGTTATTCTTGTGCGTTTCCCATTATGAGTTTAGACTCAATATGTTGGACTCTGGAGAGAGAGAAAAAAAAAAAATCCTCTTTGAACACAGTGAATGACTGGAGGTAGTCCTGGACCTAGAGGCTCACTTGGGGAGAACTGGAGTAGGGTCCTTTCCTCCCGTAGAGTGCCGTGACTTGCATTTCTAAAGTTTTGTTTCGTTTTCTTCCGATAGACATCTTGCATTGCTGGTAAGATTTATTCCTGGAAATTCCTTCCAAAGGCTCTTCCCGCCGCCCTCCTCACTCACTCAGTGAGTCGTGACTCATCAACTCCTCACGTAGGTCCGAGCAGTGAGTAGGTGCCCTAGAGAAGTTAGAGGAGAATGAGGGAGGCTGGAACCCTGGCCTCTAGCCCCGTAAGTGCCTTTGTCCCCTTCTGCTCAGCGGAGAGGTCTGACCGTTAAGCACGGAAACCCGCCCAGCCAGGACCGAGGGTGTCCCGCCCTGCTGCTGCACGCGCGCGCACGCACACGCGCGCACACACACACACACACACACACTCCCTCACTCACTCGTAGCTGTACCCAAGCAGGGTGGAGCTGTGGAAAAGTCACCTCTGCCCTCCCCTCGTCCCCGCCGGGGCAAACACGGCCCCCCACACACCTTGTTTTAGAGGGAAACGGGCAGCCAGGGAAACCATGAGTCTCAAGAGCGAGTGGAAAATACCAAGACACGTGCCCCTACCACTCTCCCGGACTCGCACCCGCAGACCCTCGGCTTCCCACTCCTACCCGCCTCCACAAACCCACCAGCTGCCTGCGCTTGCTTTAGTCACGTTCACCCCTCTGCAGGGAGAGACTCCAGTTGAGGGGTCCTGGTGGCTTAGCGGATAAGGCATTTGGCTGCTAACCAGATCAGCAGTTCAAACCCATCAGCAACTCCACGGAATAAAGGTGGAGCAATCTACTTCGGTAAAGCCTAGGAAACCCAATGGAGGTTGCAGTGAGTGGGAGCCGACTTGATGGCAGTGAGTTTGTAAAGGGTTTTTGTTTTGTTTTGTTTTGAGCCGTCCTGGCACTACTGCTCTCCTAAAACCAACCCCCAAAACCAACTGCTTCATGCCCACAGGGCTGCAACTAGCAAAGCAGCCTGGGCATCCTAGGGGTGGGGTGAGGGGTGGAGAGACAGGAGCAAAAGGAAGTGACAGCCAATGGAATTTGTCCTCTCCTTGCTAAAAGGCCTTTGTCTCTGCACTGTCCCCCAACCCAACCTGCTCTGCCAGGAGCCCTTACTGGGCTCAAGTTTGGTGGACTAGAAAAAATTTGGGACAAGATTCCTATGGTCTAAGGTCCCAGCCTCTCTCCAAGGATTCCCAACTCTGCCCCAGTCCACTAGCCCTAGGAGTAATTGTCTCCACACCAGGTCCTCACTTCAGAGGTCTTCACACCAGAGACTTCGACACTGGGGATGTCCCACACCTCAACCATCCCATCCTACCAATGACTGGGTCTGGGGGTTCTGGCTCCTAAGCATTTCTGGGGCCAATCTCAGGGCAGCTGAAGGATTCTTCCACTCTCCATAACCCCTAGGGCCCTGATACTAAGCTTAGCATTCAGTCTCTCAGAGGTTAGGCAACTGACTTCTAGTTCTCACCTCCTCTGCTACGCTAGACAGTTCACCATTTTCTGAGATATCCTGACTTTTCAGACCTGTCAGACTTCTCTCAAGCTTGAAATGGTTTTCCTTTTTCTTCTCCATCCAACAACCTCCTACTCACTTCTCAAGGCCCAGCTCCATTGCCCCTCCCCTAGATCAAAGCCTTGGCCATCCCATCCCTAGATAATCAGTCCCCATCCACATGTCCTACCCCAGCCCCTCCACTCCTGCCCAGTGCCTCTGCCACAGCCTGGCCCAGACTTGCCTCCCTATCCTATTGCTGCAAAAATCCAGGCTCTGCTCAGCATGACTCATTGTAGCCAATAAACAAGAGCCTGTGGAGTGAGAACAGAAAGCCACTTTTATTTTTTTGGCCAAAGAAGGGAACAGCCAGCGCTAGTGCCTCTAAAACTGCTCCCAGGAGGGCTCCTTCAGGCTTCCCTTATATACAGTTTACCAAACAGGAAGTCATACAAAATCATGGTATACATACTTCTACATTCCTCACAGGCCCGATTAGGGTTACATACGTCTCCATATCACATGTATAAAAAATGGTGGCTAAACTCCACCCAGAAGT